GTGGGAGCGGCGGAAAAGAAAAGGTTAGAAGCGTTCGAAATGTGGTGTTATAGGCGGATGATGAGGATATCGTGGGTAGAAAAGGTTAGAAATGAAGAGGTATTAGAAAGAATAGGAGAACAGAGGACTCTATGGAAGTCAATAAGAAATAGGCGAGATAGGTTGGTAGGACACCTTTTCAGGCTAGAAGGTCTAGTCAGACACATATTAGAAGCAGAAACGGGAGTTAGGAGGGGTAGAGATAGACTTAGATTACATTACTGTCGCAAATAGTTAAGGATATGGGTTGTTCTAGTTTGACGGAAATACGAAGATTAGCTCAGGATAGGAAAGAGTGGAGGTGCGTGTCCAACCAGTCTTATTAGGACTGACGACCTTATGATGATAATGATGAAGAAGAAATTCCTCACACTGTAAGTGAAGGAATAAAGTATGCAAATAGTCAAATCATGTCACAAATACTTGACAACTTTGATTACATACGGAACGAAAGTTCCACTCGCACTTATCTCTTTATTAATTTCAACTTTATTTATATTGTTTAGACGCCTAAAGGTTTAATAAAAAAGATACTAATAACGAACGATAGTGGACATTAAATTTGGCTTTTACGTGGTCTGAAATGTCCTATTAGTAGGTATCATAAAAACATAAAAGTTTGCTAATAAAGCCCGAATGTCCAGAACTCGCCTTAACTTTTGAAATTTATACTTATGACGCCTACCTATACCGGTTTATTAATTTTTACAGAAAGAGAGAGGCCACTCTGTTTTACGATTCATCGTCCGTCAAATTGCACATATTTTTCCAAACCTGATTATCCATAAAAATGAAATGAACCAGAGAAATCCTAGTAATAACTCCTGCGAATAATGTACATATGTTTACCTATTTACATAGGTAAAAAGGAGTTCAGTATTCCCATGAGTAAACGCATTTAATATTACTAAAAATTTCGTTTGGTTTTACTTAAAAATTGTGTATACTGTTTTATGGTTATTGTATGTAAAGTGTAAATCATAAAATTATTAACCAGTCTTAGGACTGAGGACCTTATGATGATGATGAAAACTGTTTATCAGTATTAGTTTAATTTTAAATATTAATTCTAAAATTCATTCTCAATTTCCTTTCCACTATAAGTTACCTGAAGTTAATGGGAAAAATTTTTGTTCCTGCTGTCACACCCTGAATTTTCGAATTAATATTTAATTCAGGACATCGCTGTTTAATTTTTCTGCCTGTTTGCCCGACGTCTCTATATCTTGTTCCATGTCGTGCACTTCAAATTCGTTGTACTTTTTTATTTATTCAAGCAGTTTTATTACAAAGTTTGTAACCTATTTACGTACCCTTGCTCGTTGTTGTTTGTTTTGTAGGAAATAATAACCTCATACAAATTAATAAAATCCGCCTGACAAATATAAATGGAATTTCGTTTTTTTTTTACAACTATCTTATACTATGCGCTCATCAGTTAATATTCTTTTTATATCGCTTCAAGGCTTAAAGTCCACAACATTATTTCGTATTTACTGTTGTAATGGATCAGCTGTTTTTTTGGCACGTACTCTGTTCTAATAGAAACGAGTCGCGTGAATTCTAAAAATACGTCGGAAAACGTTCTAGATGTGTAACCTGAAAACATTTTCTGGCAACTGCATCGCATACGTATAATGTTGTACCTATATATTGGTGTAAACATATCATGCAGTTTTAAGCGGGTATATAGGTACCCATTTTATATTTTACTCAGGAGTACGTACAGTGATTCACAATGGATAAATGAATGAATGTGGGCCACTGCAATATGACCGTTTATTATAGCCGGATCCGTTATAACCGTTGTAATGGAAGTACATAGTTTTCATATGATAATGAAACATCTGGGAATGTTCCTTACAATCGCCTTTTTAGGTTGGAAAAGGTTTCTATTCGGGTCCGAATTAGAGATAGCATTAAATAAAATGCTATGGATGGGAGATAAAGTAGGGATAGAGCGAATATAAAGATAAGAAACGAAAAATCACAAGACCGAGCGGCATGGCCTAGAGGTTTAGACCGTTGCTTAGTATTCGGGAGGACGCCGGTTCGATTCCGGGTCCGTCTGCCTTGGTCCAAGTTTTTCTGTGGTTTCCTTGGATCACTTAGGCAAATGCTGAGGCAGTAATATTCCACAGATAATCTTTCATTCTCTTCTGTCTTCATTTCGTCCGTCTCATCTTTCTCACCCGAATCACCACCCACCCATTCCCACGATTCCTGAAAGCAGACTGAAGAGGGGCTTCCGCCCTACCTTCCGGCGAAGTACGGAGGGAGTGCCCGCCCACCAGCATTAGTTTAAGTTTAAGATCAGAAGAAGTGGCTGATTATAGGTATCAAGGAAGTCAGATAAGTTAGGACGGAAGGAGTAGTGGGGATATAAAGCAGAGGATAGCGCAGGGTCGAGTCGTCTTCAATAAAAAGAAGTCACTTCTATGCTCGCGAGCGATTAGTTTAGAAATTCGAAAAAGATTGTAAAAATTGTGTTTGGAGCGCGGCGCTGTACCGGTGCGAAACATGGACGGTGCGCGCGTTGGAAACGAAAAAATTAGAAGCGTTCGAAATGTGGTGTTACAGGCGAATGATAAGAATACCTTGGATAAAGAAGGTTAGAAATAAAGAGATATTCGAAAGAATAGGAGAATAGAGAACTCTATGGAAGTCAATAAGTAATAGGCGAGATAGGTTAGTAGGACACCTTCTCAGGCATGAAGGTCTAGTCAGAGACATATTAGAGGCAGAAACAGGAATTAAGAAGAGTAGAGATAGACCTAGATTAGATTACTGTTTGCAAATAGTTAAGGATGTCGGTTGTTGTAGTTTTAGAGAAATGCGAAGATTGGCTCAGGATAGGAAGTGGAGGTGCGTGTCCAACCAGTCTTATTAGGACTGACGACCTTATGATGATAATGATGAAGAAGAAATTCCTCACACTGTAAGTGAAGGAATAAAGTATGCAAATAGTCAAATCATGTCACAAATACTTGACAACTTTGATTACATACGGAACGAAAGTTCCACTCGCACTTATCTCTTTATTAATTTCAACTTTATTTATATTGTTTAGACGCCTAAAGGTTTAATAAAAAAGATACTAATAACGAACGATAGTGGACATTAAATTTGGCTTTTACGTGGTCTGAAATGTCCTATTAGTAGGTATCATAAAAACATAAAAGTTTGCTAATAAAGCCCGAATGTCCAGAACTCGCCTTAACTTTTGAAATTTATACTTATGACGCCTACCTATACCGGTTTATTAATTTTTACAGAAAGAGAGAGGCCACTCTGTTTTACGATTCATCGTCCGTCAAATTGCACATATTTTTCCAAACCTGATTATCCATAAAAATGAAATGAACCAGAGAAATCCTAGTAATAACTCCTGCGAATAATGTACATATGTTTACCTATTTACATAGGTAAAAAGGAGTTCAGTATTCCCATGAGTAAACGCATTTAATATTACTAAAAATTTCGTTTGGTTTTACTTAAAAATTGTGTATACTGTTTTATGGTTATTGTATGTAAAGTGTAAATCATAAAAGTATTCAATAATTTGTAAAATCCAGTTATGATACTTCCGTCTACGAATTTCGATCGCTTAATCTGGTTTTGGTTTCGAGAGTCGCCACTATACGCTGATTGGGGCAGCACTACACGGTAGTATTATTTAATCAAGGAGGAGTTAGAGTTAGCTGTAAATAAAATGAAATTCGAAAAAGAAAAAGTGGATGAAATGAAAAGTAATAAAAAAATATTTATATGTGGCGGATGGAAAAGTAGGGCTGCAGCTAGTAAACGATAAATTAGATAATGTAGCTGATTTTCGATATCTAGGGAGTTAGATGGAAAAAGCACTAGATAATAGGTGTTGATTTGATTTGATTTTATCACCTATTGAAGCCAATATTTAAAGTAAAAACAATATTGCAGCATCTACATAAAAAAAATTAAATCTAAATGTTTTTTAATTAACTTTAACATGTATAATACGTACTACTCCATATACTTAACGAAAACTCATTTTAATAACAGACAATTGTTGCTCCCATGAGTCGTGTTGATTCTTCTTAATAAACAGCTTTTTGGCGAAACTTCTAAAACTATTGCATACGCCTTTATTGATTTAAATCTAGCCTTAGGTTACAGCCCTTAGGTCTCTTAGTCCCTCCGAGTGATTATTTTACTGATTACTGCGACCGCATGATTTATAGTGCCTTTTACAATTATTTACATATACTGCAATTTTATGAAAAGCACAAAATAAACATGACAAGTTGCACTTCATCAAACAAAGGGCTGCGGCCTGATAATTTATCTACTATTCCACATCACACTCGCGTTAACATAAAACATACTTACCCATATATCAGTAGATGCCCGTGGTACAGTGCACGTACACGCACACATACACACTCTTGAATACGTACATTCATGCATAATGCATCGTACCATCCATTAGTATTTATTGACAACGGTTGGACGATTGCAAACTAAACGTTTCTAATTAAAAATCCAACGGCGCTGGAGAAAATTTATAAATGTATGTATGTCGCAAATCGGTGAAATATTTTAAACGAATTCAGTTATTGGATGGCTGTTTAATCAACATTAATAGGCGAGTGTTGCTCGGTGGATAATTAGATTTGATAACTTACAAATCATTAAATAAATGTATACTTATTCGAATTCCCTGCTGAAATTGTCATCTATATCAGGGATGGTTAAACAGTCGATCACGGCGATCGACCACTCGATCGTGGCTACCGAGCAATCGATCGTAGCGATCGACCAATCGCTTGTGACGATTATAGGACACTCAATTGCAACAAAGTAAAGAAAAATGCATGACGAAAAATCACCCTTAATTTTGTCCTGTATTTTCTTTTAAATGAAATAATAAATACAAAAGTCGTGAAGTCACATTAACAAAAGGTTCTACATTAGTTATGAGAAATTTTCGTTGATGAAAATATATAATGAGTTAGATGCGGATGATCGAAGGAACGAGAAAGAGGAGGATTACTTTTACAATTGGATAAGGCTAGATTATTGGTATAGGTGTTAGTGGATGCCTTCATTAATTAAAGAAGCAATTGGTGACGATTGGTTTACTTTGTATTTTATAAATACTATTTGCCAACGGAATTAAATTTGAATTTTCATTACCCTCCATCTAGGGAGAGAGAGTAACGACCTCATTTGTCCCTCCCGGCGACATCTTTGTTAAGGGATGAGCTATGAATGAACCCAAAAAGCAGAAATGTGATTCAACGAACTGCACAGGTAATATCAGATAATAGGAACTACGAATTATTGTGATATTGTTCGAGTTTATATGTTTTATTTTATGTACAGGAAGACTATTGAGATACTATGATGTATGGTACGTATTCTAGTGTTCTATATACAGTAATTTATCTGATAATAGGTAGTGCATATTGCTCTAATTTCATTTCACTGGTTAATCTTTTTTATTCGTGCACCACTTGTCGGATGTTGAGCACATGATCATGGAATACTCCTGATTGTTTCCAGAAACTTCCTGTAAGTTCATTTTATTGTGCCAATTCTGCTTGCTGTACGATTTTCGGCGCGCGGCTGGTTGCAGTCTTTCAGGAACATCAAATGTGCCGCCGGTATCGATCGCTTGCGGCATTCGTTCCTAACAGTACGTTTTATAATATATAAAGCTAGTTACTACTTACGTTCACTCTACGTGTCTACAAGTATTAAAGCGAGTTCAGTGTCTTATTGCCAGTGCCTTTGGGACTGGTCCGTACACGTTAGTGAATTTTGACTGTACCTCTACGTTAACACTCTATCCGTAAAATTGAAAATAGAATTACCTACCTGTATAATGGCACTCCGGCAGAGTCTTTGAACCAGAAAACCATATTTATAGTATCTTTGGGCGTAGGTGTTGTCAGATCGCACGGAAGTTCGACGTCTTTGCCAACTACGCCCCACACGACTTTCGCAGGCACTAGAACAAAATATACTTACGTTAGTGAGTCATCGCGCTAGTACAATATATTGAAAGCTTAGAAACTGGATAATTCCAGTACGTAATGTTGCATTCTAACACCACCTTATTTATTACTTTTTCTTGTTCTGAAACCCGAACAACAGTCCAATAAATTCGAATATGGTGGTTACCAGGATTTTCAGTTTCAGTAAAATGATTGCTTTGGTAGGCCTAGGATTCTAATAAAAGTAATTCAATTTTTCTCTAAATCTTTCTTATTTTTGGAAGTTCCTTTGTCTCGTTTAGAGTTTTGATACATTTGTGATGCTTTTCAGTTAAATATGGGTCCACGTTTTAACTTCAAGGTTTGAAACATTCAATTTGGCAGAATTGACTAAAAATATGATTTCCCAGAAAGATTTTCGTATTGTAATTCTTTCTTATTATGTTCTAAGCCATTTACTTCATGAAAGTTAAATTACTTTAAGCTATTTATAGTTATAGTAATCTTCTAATACCACCTTACAAGGAAATTAGGTTACGCTTCAAGCGATAGAAACGAAATTTGAATTCATAACGACAATAATAATAACATATCTCATCAGTCTAAATATCCCAACTTATTCACTTTGTTCAAATCGATTCTCCAGGATTATTAATAAATTACGGAGATTATCCGAAATTTATTACCTACCTAGTCATTTTTTAAATTAACACAATTATGATTATAAAGTAATTAACACAATTGACATATATAAACACAAGAAAGAACTGGTGGAGTACGAGTTGGATTCTCGCACTTGGGGGTTTCTACTGTGGAAGCCCCTAAAGGTTCGCGTACATTTATCCTATCTAACGGACGGCACGGAACGAACCCACAAAATTATATTGTTGTGTAATCAAATACCTTTCGCACTCTCCTAATTTATTTAATTAATTATTCCTTATTTAACAGTACTATTGTTAACTAATCGATCGTCCATAACTATATTGCCTATCTGTGGAATACTATTACAATCCCAGCATCTAGATGATAATTTTTGTTTCCTCTACGATTACATGTACCTACAGGCCTGACGCTGGAAGCTGGCGGAAATTTTAAAATGGCGTGGATGCGCGGTGGCAAAAGTAGGCAGTTTAAGGTATAAAGGTTGCAACCCTCATTCTTCAGTATTCCTATCAAGGGCGTAGATTAAGTATTTAAAAATAGGGATCAGTGAGTAAGTAATAGACATACAAACAGAAGAAGTAATTGTTGATGTTGGTGACAGTGATAGAGATTCCCATGATGAGAGTGAATGTGAAAACTAACTATAAAACAAAAGCAAGAGGTTAATTTTTTCTTTTTGATAAGTCATGTTTTTACATTATTTTCTAGTACGCTACTGTCCTACCTGTATTAATACTATAATTTACGCCTACTGAAAGCTTATTTGTGTATCGGTTCCAAGTGACTTACCCAAATAGGTCATAAATGGGCAAGTACCTGCGCGACCGCTCGCCAGCTTCCTTCGTCAGACCTGTACTTACATATGGTGCTCTCTTCAAAGGAATGTTTTAAAGTATTAAATGCTATTTTTTTACATATAACTACAATTCATAGAGTAGCTTTTTAATAACTGGTGAAAATTGGAAGAAATCCAGTACTCAATGAAAATTAAACAAAAAAGTTCGTTTTTTGAGCGATTATTAAAAAATTGTTTCAGGAAAAATACCCCAGTCTAATTTTATGTCGTAGGTAGTTTCATTTCTACACTTGTTTATAACTGTTTAGTAGACAAGTTGGTGGCGGTTTTGTTTTTTGTTTGGAAATAAAGTGGAATCTCTGTAAACAACACCACTCAGTTTCCACAATGCTAATTACAACGAAACAGAGCTGCAATTAGTGTTATTCTAAAATAGTGAAGAGAGCGTGGAACCGTTAAGTTGCAACATAAAATTTCTGTGAAGCGAAATAATTAATTTTCAGTAAACTTGGGTAGAGCGTGCCCCTAACTGAATCCATGTAGACCGCGCTAGCACACCAAAGCGCAGTGCTTGCTGTTTAAATCTCACTTTAATTTATTAATTAAAGTACAGACATCAGATAATTATAGTTTTATGAAGCACCATCGTAGAAAATTAACGCCCTTGAGTGGGTATCAAATCTGCGGGCTGTGTAGTCTGCGAACGTTTGCACATTCTGCTTATTCTGTGCGACTTTCGCTCCGAAAATTCAAATAATGAGCATTACAGTCCTTCGGGTTAGAGCGCGGATTAAAACCTACGAGCGCGCGTTTGTCGGTTGAATTTTAAAAAATAGACCGCAAAATCCCCGGGAACGTGTTAATTTAACATGTTCAAATAGTGAGGAGATTAAAATAAGCGGGATTTCGTTCTTTATATGCTGCTATTCACTAATTACATGCATACACGTAACTATATCTAGTAATTTAATGAAGAATCCGTTCAACCGCGTAACATTGAAATAATGTCGGAAAATTGTGCATGACACCAACAAATTCAACCTTTCTATTGGTTCCTGTCGTTACTGCTGTTGTTGTTGACCTATCAGTCGAACGTCATTCGTCGTATTGATGCCTCGTATTCAGAAATATAAACCAATTTGATTATAATGGAATTTAATAACCCTTATGTATCACTGAATATTGTAAATTCCTATTTATTATTATTATAACTGGTTACCACAATATTGTTTTAAAAACAAAACAAATACTTAATAATACGAAATAATGTTGTCTAAAGTTTTCTATTTTTCGTAATTAATGCCTAATAATTATCACAGTTCTTAAATGCGCTGTACATTATATAGAAAATTTTATATAAACAAAAATTACTCATAGTAAATAATCTCACTATCTTTTTACTTTTATTGACTTAAGAAGGTTAACGTGCTTTTAGNGGATCTCTCTATGAAAGACTCGAGTCTCTCGTTCAGAGACGCTAATCAGTTTTTTTGACAGTCTCTCTCAGCGACACCAGAGAGACTCGAGTCTCGCTTTCAGAGACTCTGAGAGACTGAAAATTTTTATCTCGGGTTTCTATTATTATAAATATATATATTTTCAATTTCCCCGAACATTGGCATTATCATATTCATTACATTCCAATAGTACTATGCTATTTGGTTGGTAGGATGTACCAAAAATTACAACCTTAGGTTTATAATTGAAAATTAATGAATACGTACTATTTTACAGTAATTTTTATTAATTTATATTTAAAGTAATTTTCCACGTTTTATAAAACGTGTTTCCTCAACACGTGTTATACGTGTCTGTAAAATTTATAACACGCTTCCGAATTTCCTATTTTATACCAAACACGTGTTAAAAAAACACATTTACTGCGTGTTACATAATCACACTTTAGCGTGTTTTAAAATGTCACACCTTGAAGTGCGTTTAAAATGACTACATCGAAAAAACGCGTAAATGTGTGACAATGTAACACACTTAGCATTTGCAGTGTAATAACCTTCTTTTATGACATTGATTAAAACATAGGAAAATGTTAAAGAGGGAAGTATTAGCTAATGATTTATTAGATAAGTCCAATTAAAATTATCTTGATGTCGCCTTTAATTAAGTTAAGTACTTCTAAGCATTTAAAATTTTCCAGAAAACAGGGATATAATAATAAGCAGTATTTTCTTTAAAGGCGTGAAAGGGGTATTTGTTGTTGCCTTGAATCGTTGTCATTATTCTCTTTGATATTCAAGAATTGTCGAGAAATAAATTATTTTCAATCATTTAATGCCCTTGAACTTATCATACTGTTAAAATTTGTTTTTGAAAGCTTTGAAATAAATTCGACATTTTTTGATGAAAAAGCTGTACACCTTGCTGAAGGTTAGATACAATATATATTTTTTATATAGTGTTGACGTTTTTAATTAAATACTTGTATGAAACAGCTACGCAATATACAATTTTTCCGCATATATAGTTTTTTATTTGGAAAATTGGCAGCAGAATTTCGATCATAAATAGTATTAGGTATTTATGTTGTACCATAAGTATATTGGGAACAATTTTAAGTTTCTTTCGCTAAGATCTGTCGCTAGCGATCGACTATGCATGTCGGGGTTAAATTTGTTTTTGATAAATCAATTATAAAAAATTGCTTGCATTATACGGTAAGCTTTTTTAATTTTAACACACCTTGCTTAGTGAACGTTAATGAATCTCGAACCGTTTTACTATCGGTGTAGTATGTGAAACAGTTCGTTTCATATTTATGTTTCTGTTTCTCGTGCCTGGAAACAATAATTATTCTTGGCGATATATATACGCGAGAAGCGGTTCACGTAAAAATGAGATGGGACCCCAGCAGAGCTGAGGATGTCGTGTGCCAGATTGGCACGTTGCCCATACAGTGACTAAACATTGCGCGAATGTAGTCAAAGCGATTTCTTATCTAGAAATATGGACGGAGCTTTTGCAGGATTTCTTCTTGCACTCCGCCCTTTTATTACATTGCTGAAAATAGTCACCTACGTACTTACACAATGTACGTCTGATTCCTTCTATATCGACACAAGTGGCACAAATTTATGCAACAAACATGTTCATTCTCTTTTCTCTGTTTTGGCTTATTTTTCAATTAACAAATTAGATTTCTTTTAATCAAACCAGAATATTATGTAGAACGAGGAACAAGAGAAGTCCAAAACAATTTTTGACGTGACAACGTCTTATAATTCGATGGAGCCGGCTGCACGCACGAAAGAACATGACTCATGCGTCTTTACCTAGCTCTGAGGCGTTCCATTTAAGGCTTGAAGTTCAAGCAAGAGCGCGGAACGAGCGACAAAGAGGTACAATCGCCCTCCGCGTTCGGCAGCGTTCGACATCTGTCTCTCTCCTACTTGAGTGAGCGATGCGTCCGCTTGGACAGCTGCTACACAATAATACATTTCCATTTACCTCTTTCTCTATATCCATACAAAATATCTATCAAACAAATAAAATTAAAATTTTCTTTTGAAAAAATGGAACCATTCCATCAGTATTTTC